GAGGACTTCTATTCCGAAGTAAGTTTCGTGATGCTATTCACTGCCGTGCGTTTGGCGGTGGCATACCCAACGCCAACGCAAAAGCGAACGGCTATGGCAAAGGCTAATCAAAAGGCACCACGAAAAAAAAAAATAAAATCAGAATTTTCTTATACACATAAATAAACGATTTTGTGACTATTTTCGCAGGTGAAAGAAATTGAAAAACGCGATTCAGTACTAACTCCTACTCAACAAATTGATCGTTTACTTCGTCCAGGTTCCACATACTTCAATCTTAATCCTTTCGAGGTGCTGCAGATTGAGCCAGACGCCGAGGTGGCCGACATAAAAAAACGTTATCGTACCCTCTCCATACTGGTACATCCAGACAAGAATCCCGATAACCAGGAGCGCGCTCAAATGGCATTCGACATTGTTGCTCGTTCCTGGAAGATATTGGAAAACGACCTAACACGCAAAAAGTGTTTGGATGTGTACGAGGAAGCCAAGGGCCGTACAGATCATATGGTATGTCCATAGCATTCATTTCTGTTTTCAAAGCGATTGTATGCGAACRAACGTTTTTTAGATTGCCGAAAAACGTAAAAAACTCAAAAAGGAAGGCAGATCCTTTGAGCAAATACCTGAAGACGATCCTGCTAAATATAAACACGCCATTTACGTAATGGTAATGAAACTCTTTGCTGACATGGAGCGGCGAAGGCAAAAGCTTGATCAGCGCGACCAGGAGGAGCGCAAGCGAAAGCGCGAAACCGAAATCGAGGAAGAGGAACGCATCAAAGCGGATCGTGAGTGGCAGCAAAATTTTGAGGAATCTCGTCAAAGCCGTGTGAACAGCTGGCACGATTTTCAGTCCGGCGCTGGCAAATCGAAGAAAACAAAAAAGCAAAAGCATATGACCGGCATGATGGTGCCCCCAAAGTTTAAACCTGAATCGCGATGAAATTTGTTTGCGACTGTCATCGTAAACCGCCCCATTATTTTACACATATGTATATTTTTACATTTTTATAAGTATCCTTTGGAGTTGTAATAATTGACATGATCATATGTAGTTTTAGGAAAACAAACATTTGTCTTTTATGTTTTCTTTTTTTTTTTTTTTTAGAGCTCCGTGTACAAACTGGCTGTGAATACAATATCCCGCTTTATGGCCGCCGAGGCCTCTTCCATTTTAGACTGCAAGCCGGGATTACCAATTCGAATGGCTGCAGTTTTAACATCCCGAAGTGTTTCGTCCAACTGCTGAATACATCTCACTATGATGCCTTCCTGTACCTCRGTTAATTTCATGATCTCAGCGAAAGGCTGCAAAACGCATTTTACGARGTGGTAAACAATTGGAATCAATTTAGATAAATCTTACCTTGTTCTTAGCCCACTCGTAGACAACCTCGAGCAGTCCAAAATTTAGATTATTTTCTGCCTCAACTGCCGCTTGACAGCGCTGTTCCTCAGCCAAAATGGTATCGTTGATTTGCTCGAAGGCGGCAACACATTTTTTTAGTGGCTCTGGGATAACAGGTTCGCCCTGAATTTTGGCCTGAAACACCAGACCCGACAATAGTGCAGCTATTTCCGCCGGCTCCAGATCATTAAACATATTGCAGAGTATTAACTCTGTTATGAGCAGCTCATTTTGGCCCATTTCACAAGCTACCTTGCCCTTGAGTGTCACCTCGTTCTGATCATCGATATAATTGAGGGCTCGCAACACCTGCAGCTTGTTGCAGTAATCCGGATAAAGGGTTAAATTCTTTGCCGAGTTCTTGAAACGCAACTCCTCAATGTTAATCTCTAACATACGACGCTCGTACACTTTGGTGAACTCCTGTTCAAAGCCTGCAATATTGGTATGCGGCAGCACGTTGCCCACCTGGCGTGCCAGATGATCCACATAGTTCAGCATAGCTACTTCGGTTTCCGCATTTACGTTTATTTCCTTGGACATGTTGATGTATTTGATGCTGTCCGGATTGGCATTGTATGCTTCGTTTAGCTGATGCAGCTCCGTGACGGCCTTGACGACTGTTGCGCTAGGCGGCGAATCCTTAAAGCGTTCCAACTGCCGTTGCTCCCAATTGCGTATTATGACATCAGCATCCACTTTAATTGTTGATTTTGTAATCGTTAGGATATCAACGGCTCTGATGTCTAGCACAGCGTGTCCTCCAATGCCCTCCGGATGGAAGAATTTGTGCTGTGGTGTCAATGAAAGGATTTTGTAGTAAAGCTCACCGCGATTTACGTTGTCGCAGTCGTTGCTCTTGAATTGATGGTCCAGCACTAACACCTTGTAGACGGTATCCTTGCCTAGCACGGACTTAACATTAAGCAATATGGCCAGCTTATTGTAATGCTTGCCYTGAGTGATGACAATGATGCGTCCCACTTTCATTTCCTTTTGGATTTTCGGCTGAGTCAAAATGAATTTCTGTAAAGGGATACTCGCGGAGTATTGGATATTTAACCATTCAATGCATCGTTACTAACCATAATGCGATGCTTCTCCTTCCAGTACTCAACGGACTTGTCATAGAAATAGATCAGGGGCTGAAGGTGTTCGCCAAGGTTGGGCAGACTGGCAAACTTGGCTTCGGCCAGCTGCAGCTGCTTCTGCTGTGTAGGTAGCTGCAATTTCTGATTGAACTCCTTGAAGCTGAACTGCATGATGTCCTCCACCTTGATGCTCTCGATGCGCAGACATGTCAGTATAACGGCATAACGGAGAATGAATTGCGACTGCAGCTTCTCGGGTAAGCCCAGAATCATAGGCCGCAGTTCCATTGACGGTGGCACTTGACCTTTGCATAGCAGGATGACGGTGCCATTCTCATCGTGACCACGTCGTCCAGCACGTCCAGCCATTTGTATGTACTCRCCCGGTTTCAGGTTGCGCATTTCAGTGCCATCGAACTTCTTGTGCGAATCGAAGATGACTGTGCGGGCCGGCATATTAACGCCCATGGCAAAAGTTTCGGTGGCAAAGAGCAGCTTGACGAGCCCGTTTTGGAAGAGCATCTCGACGATCTCCTTGAGGATTGGCAAAATGCCGCTATGATGGACTCCAATGCCACGCTCCAGCGAATCCTTAAGCGCCAGCACCTGTGGTATAGTGCGGTCAGGCGGCTTCAGCTTAGCCAGGCATTGGAGGAAGAACTTCTGCACTGAGCCCTTCTCCACTGCTGTATTGAGATCCACGGATTG